AGAGCTGTTGCTTTGCAGATAGCAAACTGTACCTTCTGGTTCGAGGATTCCGTCGTGAAAATTTGAAAATTCGAATATTTTAGACCACGCCCATTCAAAATTAAAACACCTATATTGTTCTCTCTGAACATGCTGGGCGCCTGATCTTTTCAGAGACGGTAGATTATTAAATGTTGCATCTGATCAGAAAAAATTACGTGAAACGAATTATAAATGACGAAGTTATCAAGCATTTTGTGTATCTCGTTAACAAAATTGACTGGGTGATCATGTGAAACCGTGACACAAAACCTTAATTGGGCAGCCTTAACCTTAGTGATCAGGTAAGCCAATCACCTGATCACACGTAATGAATAAACTCGTTATGCTTCGTATCTCGGCCATATGAGAAGCTAATTTTTTCAGGACAAACGTAATTCGAATGGCCAAACACAATTCAATAAAATTTAGCTCGATCCGACTATCCAAACTATCAAATAAAGGCAAAAATGAACCTTCATTTGAAAAAAAATGAACTCGAATATTTTTCGATTTGACAAATTCCCCCGAACCAGTGGTGGTAGTTAGTCATACCAGAAAGAATAATTTCAATTGGGCACTCAGTGACTGAGCTATTAAGGCCAACGTATGCCCAATGACTTTTGGCCCACCCTGTATAATAACAATGTACCATAATTATAAACACAATTTATTAAACATATTTTATTAATTACATATTTTATTAATTTGATATTTAGATATTATAGTTAATTTAAAGATAACGAAAACTTTCAATTATCAAAATATATGATATCATTATCTATAACAAGAGTTTCTAATTACTGATTAAGGATTTGAGGGATTTGTACGGGGATGTAGAGTACACAAATATATAATTGTACTGCAGTTTTACAGAACTCTAAATGCTTAATGAACACACTTGCAGGTACCACCCGTATTCGCACTCAGAATTTAGTTTAGTCACTTTCCAATACGAGATTGGGTACGGGGTCTACCTTTGACCTGGATACTTTAGTATTACCTGTAACATTACCTGTAAGTATTACCTGTAATATTACCTGTAAGTATTACCTGTAATATTACCTGTAAGTATTAACTATTAGCATTACCTGTAACATTACCTGTAAGTATTATCTGTAAGCACTACCTGTAACATTACCTGTAACATTATCGATACTATACATTACCTATACATTACTATACATTACTATACATTACTATACATTACTATACATTACTATACATTACTATACATTACCTGGATACTTTAGGTCGATGGTAGACTCCGCCTACCCTTTCTGTCTATTGATGGAGGGTAAAATAAGGCTAGATATCAAGGTTTTGTTCATTACTTGTTCTACTGCTTCTTCGGACTAGCCCTTCAAATTGTTTGAAAGCCTCATTTCACCCTCTCAAAAGATGGTTAGCCTCATTTTCACCTCGAATATTTGGAGCTTAGATATCGATTAAGTATAATCCCAATCCATTGTGCAACATGGATATCAAGTAACTTGTGAGTTGTGACAGTACAATATCTAGGGACTGATTGATTGGGAACCAGCTTTGTTTAATGTTTACTCAGGAATTTATACATACAGTAATATAATTATATACCTAAATCTGCTAATATAAAACCAAAACAACTCTAAGAATATACAATCTGAAATAAAAAATATTACAGATTTAACAGTTGAAACGATCTTACTATAATACTTACTATAATAAAGTAACAATTACTGAATAAAGTAACAATTACTGAATAAAGTAACAATTACTTGAAGGAGTGTAATTAAACGATACCTTGTGATTGCCAGTAGCATCAGTGATCAACACTACAAGTTGTCTCGTTTCTCCCTATTAAAATAACATTAGCTCCCAACCTGGCAAGCTCCAGAGCTAGAGCTGTGGGTCTCCCTATACAATACTATACATTACTATACATTGCCTATACATTAATATACATTGCCTATACATTACCTATAATACATTACTATACATTACCTATACACTACCATACATTACTATACAATAAATATACATTACTATACATTGCCTATACATTACTATACATTGCCTATACATTACATATAATACATTACTATACATTACTATACATTACTATACATTACTATACATTACTATACAATACCTATACATTACTATACATTGCCTATACATTGCCTATACATTACCTATACATTACTATACATTACTATACATTGCCTATACATTACCTATAATACATTACTATACATTACCTCTACATTACTATACATTACCATACATTACTATACAATACTATACATTACCTATACATAACACAGTGGGCTACCATGCTAGCATAGGCCTAAAATCGACTTTCTTAAATTTCTTTGAAAATAAGCTTTCCTTATTGTAAAACGCTAGCCCGATTTCATGCAAGAAACCGTAATTAAAAACTTTGCAAGATGCCAAAATGGCGTCGCGTGAAAAAATAGCATTTTTCACTGTCAAGAAATTTTGCCTTTTTTAGCCAAAAATTGCCTAATATTTATTATTTTGGGCTAAAATGCCTGATCAAGGCAGTTTTTAATAATTGAAATATAGTATAGTACTTAAGAATACTCAGCCATCTAAAAAAACTGTGTGACTTTAACATTTTCACCTGAATTTTTGGGGTATTTAACGACAGAAATCGTTGTTGGTTTGCAATAGTTCGGTATAATGCATGGTATCATCAGAAAGCTTAGACAATTCCCTATCAGATGCAATAAGAATCACTTTGGGCAACTTTGGGCAACTCTGTTTACAAAATTAAGAAACTCAAAAATTGGGTAAAATTTGCTGCATTTTTAGATAATTTATGAGCTCAATTTTGCTATTAAATTGACATATTTTAGTTATTCTCCATGTTTGTGGCATTTTTTGCATCCTAGACCAGATGCGTATGGATGAAAAATCAAAATATCACAATTATTATAGTTAAAATTGATAAAAATCCAAAAAATCGTGATTTTAAACGAAATTTTTGAAAATAACAGGAACAATTTTGGTGTTTCAGAAAATTTTGGTCATATAAATGGGCACAACTTTTGTTCTGATCAATATTTTTTCATAATTCAAAAAGATTCGAGTTCCTAAGATAGCTGTTCTTCGTTTACAGTTCATAAAAGAGCTTTAAAATTGATTAAACCTCTAAAAAACAACTTTTCCTGGGATCAGCCTCCTATTTTTGGACTACAAGATTGCTCAAAATCGGCCCAAAAATTTTTTCTGAGACATTTTCGGCCCTGTAAATGATTGGAATCGTATTTTTGTACCCAAATTACCTTAGAAACAAAGTTAGGGGCATGTGTGATGGTCTAAAATACCCTATGCTAGCATGACCCCCACTCACAGCCCACTGTGCATAACCTATACATTACATATACATTACTGTACATTACCTATACATTACCTTTACATTACTATACATTAGTATTACCTATACATAACCTCCCTATATATTACCTCCCTATACATTACCTATACATTACCTATAAATTACCTATACATTACCTATACATTACTTTACATTACTATACATCCCTATACATTACATATACGTATACATTACTATACATTACCTCCCTATACATTACCTCCCTATACATTACCTATACATTACCTATACATTACCTATAAATTACTATACATTACTATACATTACTATACATCCCTATACATTACCTATACATTACCTCCAGTAACTATAACATCCTCCCTATACATTACCGGCTATAAAAATTGTAGCCGGCTATAAACCGGCTTATAGGGCCGGTGATCTACCAACTGGCCATTACCTGTAACATTACCTGTAACATTACCTGTAATCACTACCTGTAAGTATTACCTGTAACATTACCTGTGGAAGAATATAATTTAACAGAGTCAGAAGGGTCGGGTCAAGCATTGAAGTTATCAAAAATTTAACGATTCTGATTTTTTCATTAAAAATTTATAACATTAAAACACTTGCATAATATAATAACCATATTGCGTTCTCATGACAAAATGTAACATGTGCTAACATTTATTATGCAATACATATTCTAGTCACGTTCTGTGCTTGTCATAAGCTAATCAAAAACTGCACATGGACAAAACTCAGCATGCACAATCCTGCATGTGATATAAAAACAGTCAGACACTGCGCATTTATTTGTCTTGTAGTAGTTAATTATTCACTGTTCTTTGTGTAGATATCGGATTGTGTTTTTGCTGTGGTTATGATGCTTGCAGAGAAAGCTTATTTTCAGCTCACTGTACCCAAAGGTATGCTTAAGAATCCTCCCTTGTTTAAAAGCTCTAGTAATAGTACTGGTAAATAAGTAGGGGGGGGGGGGTACACTAAACTAATAAGTAGGGGGGGGGGGGGGGTACACTAAACTAATAAGAAGGGGGGAGGTACACTAAACTTATAAGTAGGTTTCTGTCTTATGATAGTTAGTGTGAGAGTCTCAGTGTTTCAAAACAAATTAGTTGTCAACTTACATAGCTCAATAAATGTTATAGATTTGTTGTGTTGTAATTAGTTTAAAGCAGATGTTTCTCCATTTTGGTCGTCACTATGACAACTGAAGCGTTATTTACAGAAGCACTGATTTGAATAGTAAATTAGGTCAAATAGCTAAATTTTAAATACTAATTACTGGTCGTATGTACAATGGTACAAATAAAAACAAAAGTTTGATACAACAAACTGGGCAACCTAGTGTGATTGGTCGGCTTGGAGATGGCTAGAATCTAGATAGTTAAGGATAATGATTTGATAGACGTGCTAAGGACACAAGTAGTATCATAATTGAAAACATCTTAAAATACGATTTTTATCAATCCAGAGCTCAGATAAAATTTCTCGTGCAGGTACCCTAAAAGTATCCAAAAGTACCCGGTTGTTTTTTTATTAAATACCTTTCAAATTTTACAGATGAATATAAAATAGAATCGTTCAAAATATCGCCCCCATCTGTAAAATATGATTGGGCACCCAAACACGGTTAGAATGTTAAGTACCAATTGAGGGGGAGGGGGGTCAATTGCAAAACAATTGAGAAAAATCTAATCCCCCTAAATTGATGCTGATCTAATGGAGGGTAAAATAAACAGACTCATCTTCTTCCTGCCCCCTTATTCTTCTTATACTGGTAATGTATTATACTGGTAATGTATATACCAAGGAGTTTGGGAGAAAGGAAAAGCTGCAGTGAATCAGGGTTTTGATTGTTTACATTATCTTAACTGTTAAGCCCTATTTGGGGGATGGAAATGGCTGTGGTAAATCGGGCTTTGCAGTAAATCGAGGTTTGTGATATATCAGGGTTTGCGGAAAATCAGGGTTTGCGGAAAATCAGGGTTTGCAGTAAATTAGAATTAGAATTAGAATCAAATTTACACAGCAATACAATAAGAATAAAAAATAATTTAAGAAGCTTCAATCTGCTGTGCAGGACATTCAAGTCAGTCGAAAACTGTTAGCAGAACACCCTTCTAGGGACATAAGGATATAGTATGTAAAACATAATGAGTAATAAATTAATGAGTGATAAAATAAGATATGATTTAACAGTGAACTGTGGGCATGAAGGTAACAATTAAGATTACATAGATGCCCACTTTGGAATTACGTTAGTAATGTTATTTACAGTTATAAACCCCTCCGGGATAGAATAAGATTCTGATAATCCCGGCTCCCGCTAAATAGATTCTGATAATCCCGGCTCCCGCTGTTAGTTTTTTCCCGCTGAATAAATAACCCCGGCACAGCTTTTATAATCCCGCCCCGCTAATTTGGCTCAACAAGATTTGTTTTGTTTTGACATTCCATGAGAATTTCAACCGCGTACTGTCACGTGTTTTGATGACGTGTATCACGTGACTAACTACTACGACGCGCATTGGTAAAAAATGTCACGTGACCTATGGCTTAACGTAAGAACTATAAATACACTCGATCTACGTATCGGTCTAATTGCAGGCGCTGGCAAAACTCCAGCACACTGCTTACATTACTTAAACTCTTACATTAATTGGACCAGTTCCAAAACTTGTCTCAACGGTTACATTTGATTTTGTCCGGTTCGGTTAATTTTGTCGTGTTTGATATAAGCCATGTATTATAGTCGTCTACTTTGATAAACTTCATGACACGATATCATTATTAGCTTTTATCGCTTGCCAGGCTTAACTCGACGCCCCTTATCGATATTCATATTCATTCAACGTTCTGACTGAGGAATAATGTTTAGATATAACGCCAATTTCAAAAGTCATAGTACCTTAGTTGTATTTATTTGGTAGTCCCCAATTCCATTTCATATTTTCCATAATGATCTCATATAGCTATATTTAAGAGTAAAATGTCAAATTTGTTGGTCCTAGCACTAACCCGGAGGGGTTTATAACACATAACACCGGCACGCTTAAGTTATATTAAAATAACCCCTCGTGCTAAAGCACGTCGGGGTTATTTTCATAATAATCCCTTGTGCTTCGCACTCGAAATTATTATACATTTTTCCCGCGCGTCGCGGGAAAAATTGAAATATAATCCCTGCGCATGCCGGGGTTATGTGTGTTATAAACAGAGAAGTATAGAACAATAATAGATTGGCAATGATAACAAATGGGAACGAATAAAGGAGATGTTTAAAGTTCTATACTTCTGGAAATAGGTCATATATAACGCAGGGGGCCTTTCCACCCGACAAAAACTCCAGCACCATAAAATTTGTTTCAGTTGTCACATAGCTAGAGTGTAGAAATAGTCAAAACTATTGTTTATTTCATAGGATGGGACTCCTTGAATTACATCTGAGATAAATTTAGATTTCATACATTGTGAGAATTTTACACTACATTCTATAGTCCTTATGTTCTCTGGAATTGTATTCCAACATTTTGCACCTAGATATGTAAAGGTTTTGTGTGTTCTGGATTTGTGAATATAAAGGTTGCACCTCTCAGCATCACGTGATCCTCCGGATACATAAGAAAATTTATCTGTGAATGATGATGGTGCAGCCTCATTAAGAATTTTATACATATACGTTGATAGATGGAGTTGTCTTCTTAAGTGTAAGGGTAACCACTTCATATTTCGATATACATTTACTGATGGTTCCTGCCAATGAACATCCAGAGCAATTTTTGCTACTTTCTTGTATAATATATCAAGAGAATAAAGTTTGGTTTTGGCAGCCCTACACCATATTATATCCAGGTAGTCAAATTGGGGGAGCATAAGAGCATTTACAAACATTTTTCTATATTTCAGTGGAAGAAGATTTTTCGACCTGTATAATGCCCCTATTCTTTTAGCAATTTTTGATTTCACATAATCAATATGGTCTTGAAAGTTCAATAAATTGTCTATCATGAGACCTAAACATTTTTGAGATTTAGTTTCTTCTATAAATAGGCATTCTTTTTCCAAATCCAGAGGGATTGACAACGTGTCCAGATTAGGTGATCTATCAAATACAATGAATGAAGATTTTGCAGCATTTAGTCTCAGCTTGTTGATTCTAAGCCATTCATACACAATTTTCATATCCTTAATTACATTCTCATATATGCCTCGGGAAATGTTATCAAAATATAGTGCACTGTCATCTGCAAATAAGTAAACAGTAGATTGTGTGCAATTTCTACTGAGATCATTTATGAATAAACTAAATAGAATTGGTCCTAATATGCTACCCTGTGGCACACCTGTTTTAACAGGGAGTGATGTGCTTACATTACCACGTATTTTGGTGTGCTGCTTTCTGTCCCCAAGGTAGCTTTTGAACCACTTTATGACAAAGTCATCAACTCCATAATACTTAAGTTTTTTAAATAAAATAATATGGCTTACTGTATCAAAGGCCTTTTTAATATCTAAAAATACAATTGCAGGTTTCTTCTGTGATTCCTTAGACGTAAATATTTTATCAAATAGATTAAGCATTAGAAAAGTGGTAGAATGATCTTTTCTAAATCCATACTGATGGTTGGTAAGCAGTTTATTTGTTTCAACATACTCTGTAAGCTGTTGGTTAACAAAATATTCTATGCATTTTCCAAGGAGGGGGAGTATGGATATTGGCCGGTAGTTATTTGGATCATTAGTGTCACCAGTTTTAAGAATTGGAGTGACTGATGCAATTTTACATGCCAACGGCATTGTTCCACTTTTCATACTAAGGTTTATAATATGAGCTACTGGATCAATGATTTGGGGAATAATATACTTATATACTTTAATGGGCATGATATCGTTAATCGATTTATCTGATGGTATACTGAGTATATATTCTTTTACTTGTTCAACAGTCACCTCTTCGAATACAGAGAGTTTACACTCTGTTGGAGGCGGCATAAATTCTAGGAAGTCGTCTGAATCCTTTTCCTTAATCCATAAATTCGGGGTGCGGTAATTCGGGTGCAGTAAGTCAGGGTTTTAATGTATATATATATATAAAATATAATATATAATGTTTTATGAACTGGAAGAGGTATTAATTCAAATTATTTTGTAATAAATTTGTTGCCCTTATGTTCATAATTTTAAAATTTAAAGGGTGCGAATAATTTTTTCTTAAATAATTTAGTAAAATCAAATGCTACAGAGTGCACATTATGCATGTTTTAGTACATAGGAAAAGTAGTCTCCAAATCAATACAAATTATATTTTCAGGATTGGATCTTATCCTAAATGCAATATCAAAGGAAGTTCTTGAAAAACAGCCACGCGAAGAAGAACTCAAAAAAATAATTGCACTTTATCTGAAGCGGGAGTTAAAAATGAGAGAGACCAATGGATTTTCTGTCCTGGAAGCGAAATCAGAATCTGCATCAGCTAAGGTCTAAACCAGACGATGCTGATGTTAACAGACCAAAATATTAAGAAGACATACAATCATAAGAGCATTGCAAAGTAATTTGAGGGTCTAAGTGAATAACAATATCAAGTTCAATTTCAAGAGTGTATGAACTCATTTTTGAGGGACGATTTTAAAGCATCACGCTTAAATTTAAATAAATTTTCTATTGAATTATCACAGATATTTCCTTTAATTTAAGTTTCAGAGAGAGGACTTATTTTGGATCTCTGATCAGGCACAGCTTGAACTTTTTTTGTAAAATAATTATCACATGTTCTCTTTAACTAACTTGGTAACTTAATTAGCTCATATATATCTCATCAAATTTAATGCTGTCTAGAAAACAACTATTTTGTTTGAAAAGAATAAGAATATTAATGTTTCTCAAGTAGCTATAACCGAAAATAGAATAAAACAAATATTCAGAATAAAACAAATATTATATTCAAATCTCTTTATTCAACAATATTAAATCATTATAGAACCTAATTTGTGGCTTGATCGTTATGTTAGGGCTATTCTGTTAGCTGATGCTAACAGGCACTGCATGGGGCAGAGACTTAGGACCATTACGCTGGAGGCTTACAATGACCCTTTTTGAACCCCATGGCAGTGCTAGTTTTATTATGGTACAAATTGTAAATCGAAGTTATGAAAACGATCAAGTCACTCCTGTTTTACACTATCAACAGCTACTTAAAACAACCTAGATTGTACAACTCACTTTGAAGATTAAACTGTTAAGTGATGAGTGATTGCCGATTGGGCTCATTAAACATTTTAGTAGCGGAGACATGCGGATCAGCTTCTTGAGGTTCTAATAGTTCATTCAGACAAGAAGTTTTACTTTTTCAAATTTAGTTGTTCAAGCTGCCTGAGTTCAGAAAGTTTGCCAGGTATTCTTGTCACCTTTACCCTGAGATGAGAGAATGACTTTTTTTACCTTTGATTTGATAAGATCAATACATCTTTTTAAATCTACTAATCATCATAGTAGATCTGATCTTTGTTGATCTAGTATTTAATTAGCATGAAATGGTTTGGCACACTGCAAGGAAAAATGTCTCGAAATGAATATCTTTGTGGTTTCATAATGAAAAATTCTCAATGTCAATTGGCAAAAAGCTCAAATTATGAAAGACTAGAAAGCCCTTGGTAACAGGGATGAAGCTAGTAGTTTTATATTTATTTGGCAGCCAGTTTTAATCACATCAAAAAGTATTCATCCCCACCGAAGATACAGCCTATTTAAATGTAGCTCGCACTGAACACAACGTTATTTACCACAAAACCTATCAAAATGTCGCTTGCCAATCTTTGCACGTCCACATGCACGCTTATTGGATATAATGGATATAATGTCAATACAATGTCGCTTATTGGATAATATAATGTCCATATAAGGCATGTCCCCATGGCTATTGACGTGGCTTCAATCTCTGATAGACTTAAAAAGCCAATTTCAATAGCACTTATGTAACTCGGCTGGGCAAATCATCAAACTCAGTAGAAGTCATCTTTAAGTCTCATGTGGATCTTACACAGGCAATAAGCAAGGGATTCGGTCTTGAGCATTTATGGCTAGAAGTTGCTCAATTCAAATTCACTAAAAAAGCAATGCAGTGTCATGGCTGCAAGAGATTTGGTCACCCTGTTAAATGGTGCCGGAGTAAAGCAGCATGCGGATTTTGCTCCTCAGAAAGCCACACTGATAAAGAATGCTTGGAGAGAACTAATCCATCAAGATATTGCTGCCGCAACTGCAGAGGAAATCATACGGCTTACTCAAACCTTTGCCCACATTTCATAGAAAAAATGAATCTGATTAAACAAAGTAACCACCATGATAACTTTTAAAAAAAAAACAAGAAGAAAAGTGTGTCAAACAGTATATATACATTCAATTAAATCAAGTGATGCAATTGGCAGAGCACAATCAAATCGCAGCATCTCTCCTTCCTTTTTCTTGCCATTCAATACCTTCTTTTATAAACTTTCTGGAAGTGATATTGACTTTGTGCCCTCTCAGTCAGATTTAGGAGTCGCAATAAACTCCAGGTTTAATTGGGGTGCACAATGTAAAGCGCTTGTTTCCAAAGCTACCTCTAGACTTGGACTACTTAAGAGAACATGTCATTTCACTACTGATAAAAGGCAGAAAAGATCGTTCTATTTAGCGTTAATTAGGTCTATATTTGAACATTGTTCTGTCATATGGTCCCCTCAATCTGCAACTCATCTTCAACAGTTTGTTGCTATCCAAAAGAGGGCTATTAAATGGATCAATGGTGAACCTTACTCCAGTTATAATGACGATAAACTTGCTACAGAGCAAAAGAAACTAAATATTCTCCCTGTTAAACAGAAGTTTATTTATAACGATCTTATGACCTTCTATAAAATAGTGAATAGCATAATTCCAGTTTCGCTCCCTACATATATATAGTCCTATGCCGTCCAGAGGGCACCCGATACACAAGGCACAATGCTCAAATAATTGATATGTCGGATACTTCAACTTACATGAGTACCACTGTGCCCTGCTCGGATGCCTTCCGAAATAGCTTTTTTCATAGATCTATGCTGAAATGGAATAGTCTACCAGTATGTAGACTGGTAGGGCCACTACTTTTAAGGCCAAACTGATCAAGTACCTCTGGGCTGCCGATACAGTCTGGCCAGATTAGCTCATCAGTCTTATGAGTCTCAGAAATTTGTTTTTGTTGGTTACAATTCTGTCCGTCCAATTTCCTATCTGCTTGTCCTTTTCTTTTTTCTTTATCAGTTGTGACGGAATTGTAATGAACAAAATCCTTATAATTATTTATGATATGTTTGATTTTCTTGTTAATGTTTGTCATTCAAATTTGGTAGACGGCCCCAACGTTAATGTGGCTCTTGCTATGTGTTGGTTCAGCCGAATTAATTATTATATAATCAAGTTTATTTTTCTCGTTAAGTTGTCATCCGGCCAAACATTAAGCAACTTATATTGCAGTACCATTTACCATTTAGTATATCAAAATATGTCATTGTATTTTTGCATGGCTGAAATGTAACGCTTGATTTATATATATAATGATTAATTGAATTTTCAAATAAAAAAAAATGAGGTCTGTCTGCTACTCTGTTGACGAACTGCTTACACTCTTTAGACATTCCTCTAGATGTGAGGAATACAGCCGGGGTTAAGGTAGCCTTCTCCACATTCAACACTCTCTCCGAGTACTCGTCCTTCTTCTCCTTCTCGTTCTCTTCGTATACTTCTTGAAGAGTTTTTGTCCTGTTTGATAAGCAATTGGGGTGTGAAACCCTTATGTCAAGAAAGGTCTTATCAAATGGAGTCCAAACTCCTCTAGCAGATACATCAAGCCGAGCTTACCACCATGATAACTAAAAACAACGGAAGTCTTCATATCTGTCAAATAAATGTCAGTGGTATTATCAAACAGGTCTATTACAGCATGTGATATATTCAACTTTAACTTCAAAAATTACAATTTGGCTCTACAGGAAACTTTGTTGGATAACTCCAGACCCCACTTAAATACCTTATTTAAGAATAATTGCTTCAGGGTAATATTTAAGCTTTGCAATCATATTAATATTATTTTCAATTGGTGTGTTTATATAATAAACACAAAGCCTTGGATCCCCAAGTAAAATTTAAAAAAGTGAGAAGTAAATCTGAAAGTTTATGGAAATAAATATAAGGGATTCAACATAATTAGTTGTATTGTACCAGCAGACCTTACTGGCTGGCGATATTACTACAGGTGATTCATGATTGCCTCTTCACAGCTTGTTGAACTCCGCGCGCGCTCGTTAGTTCATTGCATTTTCACGCTTCAATTATTCCAAGAATGCAATTTCACCACGTACCGCGTGATACGATTCAGCCAATCAGAGAACAAGAATCTGTGAAGTTAAAGATGCGCAGTTTTATAAGGCCTAAAATATAACTTTTCGCGATAGTTCAAAATCTACATTGTTTTAAATTTTCCTCCTGGAGAGGAAACGTTATTTTTACAAAGGGAAGATTTTGTTGAAAACCAGACGTTTCTATCTCTTTTATTTTCGAATTTAGGCCCCTAACGGTAAGATTTCCTAGGTTTATGTAGCGCTTGATATTGAACCTTCTAGTGTTAATCTTAGTCATGCAAGTAGTAAACAGCTCATCTATGAGAATGAGGAAGTGAAAGCAAAGATAAGATATGAGAAGAAGATAACTTCTAATTTAAAGATCAATTGTAAATCATTTTATTCTTATTTGAGAAATAAGAGAAAGGTTAAAGCTTCGGTACCAAGTTTAGATAAGGAAGACGGTACAAGGACAACTAGTGCAGGGGAGTCTGCAGAGGTACTTGCAAGTGCCTTTAGTTCTGTGTTTGTTAATGAGCCACTCGGCCCATTACCTAGAAGTTATAGTAAGAATACTAATAGTATATCTGATATTGTTATTACCTTTGATAATGTTAAAAAGGAACTATTAAAGCTTAATATTTTTAAAAGCACTGGCCCAGATGGGCATCATCCAAAGCTGCTTAAGTCCCTAGCTGGAGATGCTAGTTTTGTAACAGCTCTTACTAAATTATTTAGTGCCTGTAGTGATACTGGAAATCTTCCGGAGGTATGGAAGTCGGCATCTGTAGTTGCACTTTTTAAAAAGGGCTCTAAGTCTGACCCTCTTAACTATAGACCAGTTTCTCTTATTTGTATTCTTTGTAAAGTTTATGAACAGTTTGTTAGATCCCATGTGTTAGAATTTTTAGAAGACCGTATTTCAAAGGACCAACATGGGTTTGTTAAAGGAAAATCTTGTTTGTCAAATTTTTTGGAGACTTTCGACACTATACTTAATTTAATAGATGAAGGTGCTCCTGTGGACTTATTTTATTTTGATTTTAGTAAAGCTTTCGATTCTGTTCCCCATTATCGCTTGATCAACAAGCTAGAGAGTCTAGGGATAACTGGTAAAGTTTTAGATGTTATTACAGATTTTATCTCAAATAGAACTATGAGAGTGTGTGTAGAAGGTGAAACTTCAGAGTGGAAGATTGTATGGTCAGGAGTTCCCCAGGGATCAGTCCTTGGACCATTACTATTTGTGTTATTTATTAATGATTTACCAGATAATATTAAAAGTAAAGTTAAAATATTTGCTGATGATCTTAAGCTTATAGCTAATGCCTCCGAGCATGAAACTATAGCTAATGATCTGAACGAACTAGAGATGTGGGAGAGTAAATGGCTTTTAAAGTTTAATCCTACTAAGTGTTCTGTAATGCATTTAGATGTTAACGATAACC